GGTGCAAGTCCATTTAAGCATTTAAATACCATGGTAGCATCCCTAACCTCAAGTTGTTTAACAATTGGCAGCCACTGTAACTGCTTAAGAATAGGTGTAACATGATCAAATTTCCTCGTTCCAGAAACTATCCGGGCTGCAAAATTTTGCACTGTCTGTAATAGCTCGATGTTTTTCTTGGTGGTATTAGCCCATACTGATGAACAGTACAATAATTTACTGAATACGAGAGAATTAATTATAGTAATCAACGTACGCCTATCAAACAGGTATTTTACGCGATTTATTTGACAAAGGCTACCTATACATTTCGAAGTTAATTGAGTTATATGTTCGTCGTACGTTAAATTACAGTCCATTGTAACCCCCAGGTTTTTCGCAGACTTAGATGATGTAATCTCCTTGCTGAGTAGTGTAATGCTTAGATCATCTGGTATCTTCATCAGCAACTGCGGAGTCCCCAGAACCAGAAGTTTTGTTTTTTCCGGGTTAATGAGTAGACTGTTTTTACAACAGCATGTGGCTATGTTCCTAAGATCTTCTGTCAGCTGAGCTGCGGCTAAGGTGGCATCACGTACAGGAAATGAGAGGTATAACTGTGAGTCATCAACATAGCACTCTAACGACCCTACCTTAGGTACAGATGGTAGATCGTTGATGTAGATATTAAACAATGCGGGGCCCAAAATTGAACGCTATATGAATCTGCTCAAACCTCTCTAAGATTAATAACAGGAGTAGAATGAGCTTTGAATAGTAATTGTTACGAGTTATTGATGATTATAGTTTATTAAACTTCAGGCTTTATGCTTCAAATGAAGTTCGATAAATAAGAGTGAGCAACATTCGAAACCACGACCGCAAAGCATACTCGAGGACAGGCATTCTGTGAAAGGAGAAAATTTTCTGAATCAACCATATAGTGACTCTCAGTATAACAACCAATTTTAACGAATTATTCCGATTTTATTCAAAGTCTATGCAAATTAGTGTGAGACCCAGCATTATGCCCAATACATCAAGCAACAACGACCCCTCTCCCTCCTTTCCTGATTTGTTCTAAAGATCAGGGATTATGACAACAATTACAAAGCAAGTGACGCAAACGTCCTGCCCCTTTGAAATCAGTAAACTCATTCACACACTGCCGAAGAAGAACTTACCTCACTAATGAAATCTTCTTGGAATCTTACGTGAAGGACAGGGGTAGCAGACAATTGTTCTGATTCTTCTGTAGCGGTAGTAACTGTGGTGGCTCTACTATTTCCTCTGCGGACTCCGTAGAACATGAAGGTTCGTGAATCTGAGGCTCCGGGTGAGACGTGGACGCCAGTCCGGGATCTTGTACTTCGGAATCCGCGTCAGTAGAACCTACAGTTCTTAGATGGTCACCATGGCATTGTCTACAAACCCCTGCGTACAAGAATAAACCTAAAATGAGTTTTGGTAGCATTATGGTTTGTTAGTTTATGGTAACAGGCTGGATAGAACAAACTGTTTGGAACTTTTCCCAAGCAATAAACGGCTTGCCTACATCCATTTAGGCATTCTAATATTTCCTAGAGGGAGGGATTTTACCAAGCTAGATTCTAAATAGGCTTGTGCCGCCATTCCTAGTCAAAAGAGGGCCCCTGTTGGAAGTATTAGTGATTGGTGCTGTAGAAAATACTAGAAGTCCGCGCGATGTGGTAGGCCAGCGTAGGCCATCAGTAAATGTATAATTAGCGGCAATTCCAGTGCGGATTTTAAACAAAAATCTGATAATTTTTCAGTGAGGCGCTTATTTTCACGCCCCGTTCTAGAACACTCATTCTTAATTGACACCGGGCTCTATATTAAAAGGCCTGGCCCTGAGGTTTCGCCAAAAAAAAATCTGTATAATCACTGTAGCTTTTGAGAGAATTGCCCTATCCCCCGCCCCTCCTGGAGAAAAATGACCGATTAGAAGCAGGAACCTATAACTATGGGCTACCGTTAGAACGTAACTAGCTAAGATACAAAAAGGAAAACAACGGAAGGGCAAATTGACCTGGTAAATTTAAAAATAGATTAAAACTCTTGTAGATCAAAATTCACCACACAATCGCTTATTTGTTTGTTTGTTTGTTATTCTTTTGCGAAATAAATATCATACCCTATAACTCATAATTAATTTCTTACAAGATCTTCCATCCTTCCCCCCAACTCCGCCAAAAAAAAAGAAAGACAAAAAAACTCCTTTCCACTTGTGTATGTATTAATAAAACAATTGACTAAACTTGTGTATTAGTCAATCATTTGCCCCATGTAAGGGAATCCGGATTCCGGAATCCTAGAAAATTTTGCTAGTGGAATCCGGAATCCCACTAATGATTGAAAAAGAACCCAAGTCCCCTGACAAATACTGGAATACAGTGATTGGAATCCTGTCTTGATTCCCTTACATGAGGCTTAATCATCAAGAAACCAAAGCATGTATAAGTACCGTATTTACCTTCAGTGATCACGCTTACCTGAGCCTACGGGAACCAAAACGTCCCACGTTTCCTTTATCTCTTTCGACATTTTCAAGTTCACCCCTCTGGACACTTTACCCTTACGGCGACCATGAAGCGGATGCTGGCATTTTCTTGAAGGACAATACTTTGCTCCAAGTAAAACGCGATGCTTTGGGCAAATAACCATATCCTTACCCTCCTCGTCAAACAAACCGACACGAGCAAGTATCAGCTCTCTCTCAGAGGCTACACATGATTGTGTTGTTTGCAATTCTCTCAAGTGCGCCTTTACATCACTGACGCAAGAATTCAAAGGAAAAAACTGTGTACGATCGGGGTATCTAGTTGATACGTCACACTCACTGGTACAGTGCACGGCAAAAGAGCACGAAAACTGCGACATCGTTTTTAACGAGAGACCTTTTCACCTCTACATCCTATACCTCTAACCGATCGGCGCATGTGAGGAACACTTTGAAATATCCATGCGCGTGCACGCTTTTTCCAATCAACGGTCTATTTATAGAAAGCGTGTGAATCTCAACACTGGGCTGTTAGGTCTATTACATATCCTAAGCCCGAATTCAACATTTACGATCGCCAAACCTTTATACATGTAAAAACTCCGTTTTTAAAGAAGAAAATAAAACAACTCAATTCGTTCGCGTCAATTTGTATTTTTAAAGCGAACGTTTGTTCTGTTTGTAGTTATTATGGAAAATCGAATCAAGCTATCAAATTACAAAGATGTATGCGCTTGCCAGGAAGTAATTCCCAGGGATAAGAAAAAAAGAAGCGTTTGGCTGCTTTTCTCCTTTTTTTCTCCTTTTCAGGCGTATTAGGCAACCGACTTGAGTCGCAAGCAAATCAATTTATTTTCAGAAAAGGGAATTCTTTTGGATAACGTTTTCTGTATCAAGATGCAATGTGGCGTGCAAGTTTCAAGCAATTGTACTATTCCTTTACCAGACGAACAAAAGCAAATTTTATTATACAATCATTCTAAAGTTCAAATACAGACAATGTAAGCATTTGGATAGTGTTCTGTGACTCAGGTGTTTGACTTAGCGAAGAGTAAATTTCGTCACGAAGTTCACTTATACAATAATAGAGGTCATCATAAGACCTCCGATTCTTATTTTCATGGCTTAGGACAAACTAAAGCTTTTGAATTGGTTCAATTTCATTAAAGTTTATAGTGTGTAACCATTTTGAGGCATTTTCTGTCTGTTGCTACGTTATCATTACCGAATTAGCGCACTGTAATGAAAGGAAAAAAAAAAGATTGACGTGGGTACCCTGTAGTGGGCCCTTTTTTTATTTAGGCAATTAGATAGAAATGGTTCTATTTCATTAAAGTGTATGGCGTGTAATCATTTTGTGGCATTGTCTGTACGTTGCTGTGCGATAATTACCGAATTAGCGCGTTATAATGAAAACAAAATTGACACTGGTACCCTGTGGTGGACGACGTGTTTGCAGTCTTCCTGTGGAATAATTAAATGAGTGCCCAAAGATTTTTTTGCAAATATTATTAGTATGAAGTCCCGTCTTCTAGACGGTATGCTCCGTTTTCTGAAGCATGCTCCGGCATTGGAGATATTTTGGCCTAAACTTTGGATATTTCAACAGTTTTCACTATTGGGTGAGAGGGGGGGTCTTGGCTGAGATGACTTGTGTCATAGGAACTTGTCGTAGAAGAACGAAACAGTTACAATAAATTGTCTTTGGGTAGGATAACATTCACTGAAAATATGAAAAGATTTGATGGAATTCTTTTAGCAGTAGAGCTTTAATACTTTCTACCAATTTTTAGGTGTTTTTTGGTCATTTTTTTAAAAAAAAAACAAGGGGGTGGTCAACTCCCCCCGGTTTCGACTAAATTTCCTTAAACTTAGAGTGAAGTAGTTTTGGGTGGACCCCTTCAAACTGGCCAAGTTTCATGGAAATCGGTTAGATGGCTTGTGCCGCCCCTGCCTGGTCGTATCGTTGATGCACTCTTAAGTCGGTTGGTAAATTTTACTTTTATCCTAAAAAACGTAGTACCTGCAATCGAGGCATATTTGACATAACCCCCACAAGAATAAAATTGTAAAAATAAGTTTGGAGTCATTTTGAAAAAAACAAAATGAAGTTGAGACCTCTTAAAACGCGAAATTTAAATACCCTTATTTAATAGTTGCCTATTGAGAGCACGAGAATAAAGCCCCTCGAAATAATGTCACGCCACAATCTTAAAATTAAGTAACAGCAAAATTATGTACCAATAAGGTAGCTACGAAGACAATGTATATTCTTGACTCCATAGAAGTTAAGAATCATATAAAATTGCTAAAAGTAACCTTTTTCTCGATGTATGTGGCCAGTTTCTGACGAAGAAATTCGAAACTTGGGCGAAATCCAGGCTCTTGTTGCCAGCATCTCTCCATCAGATGGTACCTGAAAGTTGAATAGAAAATCAAGATCCTCAAAATCTTACATTGAGTTTAAAACAAAAGCATTACGAGATCAATGTCACCAAACGATCGTTTCCAGTCAATCTTGCTTCGCAGTTCTCTCTTCCCAGAGCTCCGAGAGGCTACCAGTTTCCTTTGGGAGGCTAATAGGAAACGTTATTTAGTTGGCGGAGAGCACTTTTTGTTAAAAAAAAAAAAAAATGGGGTCTAGAGGGCTGGTCTTCTGGAGGTCCTCAATGTTGGTATTTCCAGGGATTTTTTCGACCTATTTTACCAGAACCTTTTCATAATAACTACAGGCCCCACATCCTTGAGATTTCCTTATAATTAAATAGCTTTAAACCATTTTGACGGGTATTTAGTTCACCAGGTAGATATTTTTTTCTGCTCTTGGTCTTTTATAATGATGTCAGGCCTGTTAATTGAATTTGATTTCTTTTTTGGTATTAACCGCCATGTCCCAGATGACAGTACATGTTTCACTTTCATTTTCTGTTATTTGTCTGCCACTTTGATGCTGTACTCTTTGCAGATATTCCAGAGGATGTAAGAGGCGGTCTTGTCGTGTCTATATATGTACTCGGATTTTTCTAATTCAGGGCAACCACTTGTCATGTGATCGGTGGTTTCTTTGTAGCGGTGTCAAAGTCTGCACATTGGGTAGCTATATTATTATAACAGTAAAAACGTTTTGAATGCCAAAAGTGAGACAATAACCACACCAGGAATCTCAATAACCATTAAAAACGAGTAGGAGGTACCAACTGTACTTAAAACTGCCTAAGAAGTTAAAAAGTTCAAGTTTCTTTAACAATACTAAATATGATTATTCTTGCGTCCTTGCATCTTTTCTGTTTGCTTTGACCTAAGTGTTCTCGGCATAAACTTGCACATCCCAATAAGCTTTAGCGCGCTTTTTTTCGTATACTGGTTTTGCTACAGCAAAAGAAAACCATGGGGGAACGGATGTCGATCAAACCTAGTTTTTTGCAGCTCAAAAAATAGGATCTTTAACATCGAGTTTTGTCAAGCAAGGTATTTGGTCTGCGCCAGAGCTGAGCAGCAGGCAAGCACGTGCGACGTGGAATCTTAGGATTTGTTACACATTCTGCATGTGACATCAGGTGATAGATTCAACCCCGTTCTTCTTTGTTAATAAACTTTCGTTGGAAGGAGCTGCTTGTACAATATCTGTGTGCTCGCGATGGTACTAGAAGGCACTGATCTCCAGGCTGCTTGCCACTCAAAACGGTCATCCTCCAAATCGTTGTCATTCCACCTTGTTGCCACTAGCTTTGCTTGGCAGTTCTCACTTTTAGCTACTTCCATTCGCTTTCTTAATTCTTCCTTATAACATCTCCCAATTGACGCTCCATCCACTTTTCTGCGGTCTCATTTTTTTTTTGCAACAGGATGTGCGAACTTAAGTTAATTTCCACACCCAGTTCCTGGGAATATTTCTTAGCATCTTCAATTAACGCTCGTAGACTACTTCCCTCGGCTTTCTCTTCATACCTTTTATCCACCTGCATCACGGGGTATGGATTACTGTACAGCTTGACAGCCGCCTTAATCTTGGTCAATTTATATTCTTCCTCCAGTGACTTAAGGCCTCTTCCTCCAAGTTACCTAAGGAGGTACATCAGCTCTGTTGATCCTAAGGGGTACTTGCCTCAGCTTTGGACAATCACCTTTCTTACTTCTCTATCTTCTCTGTATGTTTCACTTGTATTTCTCAAGCATATATCGGATACAGCTCTCAATGCTCCAATCACAATTGACACCGCTGTTACTTTGTTCAGCTTCAACAAATTTCCTATTTCTTCGCAGATTAGACAAGTTAATAATTCTCAATTTTTTACATTTCTTTGTCTTTTTCTCATGCACTTCCAGGGATAGCAATGTCGATGATCTTGGCCTCCTTCGCCTACTTATCAACGAAGATGATGTCCGGCCTTCTATCTTTAACTATCATATCATACTGTACATTAAAATCCTACAGAACTTTGAAATCCCCATTTTCCACCACTCGCTCTGGGATATGTATGTATCACTGATCTTCCTGTTCCAGTTAAGCCTTCCCATACATTTACCAGGGTCTTTTTCCGCAACCACTGCCATGTTCTCCCCCAATCCACTTCCCTCATGTCCCTGACATATTACCCATACATTTTTTCTTACCATCTGTTTTCCATTTCTCTCTTTTTATTCTTGTTACACTCCCTAGCATCCCATGCCTCATTTACCGTCACTGTTCCTCTCCCACCTACTTTCCTAAGTAACACCTCCTCGGAATTCTTTACCTAACAACTAGAATTGTTTTTTTCCCCACTGACACAAACTTCGCGGCTAATGAGTCCTCTATTGGTATGAAATTATCAACTGCATTACCCCTTCGCGGATCTTTTTGACAGAGCAAGTTTATTGGCAAATATTATCACTTGTTTACTCCCTAAAAAACATGTGACATCGCTTTTATCCCGTTAGTCCTTATCACTTGCAATGATGGCTTGCAGGGGCGTAGCCAGCCCATAGACCTGCAGGCCCTGGCCTACAGACGTTTGCCGGTTTGATCACTCTATCGCTTGTAATAAATTGTGGGTTGTTGGGGTCAGCTAAGAAGCCTTGAGCTCAAAGTGTTGGTAAGGTCAGTGCGTACTAGTCATGCGTGCTATTTTCAGGATATGTGGAAATGAAAATCAGGCGCCCAGGCCTACAACTAGTCAAAAAGCTGGCTACTCCCCTGGCGTGTAAAAACACGGTTGAGATGGTCCAAAAGAGAGCTGCACGCTGGGTTCTAAATCGCTTCGACCGCAAAGATAGTGTAACCGAAATGCTTTCAACCCTGAAATGGTAGACACTATAAAGTAGTCGAACCATAGCACGCCAAGAAGATGTCAAAATACAATCAGCCGGCCACTCGTACTCAACTTGCTCCAAAGAGTACGCTTACACACAGCCAACAGCCATTAGGGATTACTACAAGTACTCTTTCTACCCAAGGACAATTACAGAACGGAATCCAATCCCAGCGGAAACAGCATTGTCCAATTCACTGAATGCTTTTAAAGATGCAATTTCAACATTTATTATCCCTTCATTACTTTACGCTTAGACACTTAGACATTTCTGTTTATACTTTTTAGAGTGTTCTAAAATGCTTACTATTGAGCGACAGACCTAAACGGTAACAAAATAATAAAATAAAATAAAATAAATAAGGTATATTAATCAATATGCGTAGTAAATAAGTCTATGACGTGAAACGTACAGCGTATTGTCGACATGTTCGGGCTTTGGCATGTGGTAACCATTTTTAATTTCCGCAATTGTTTTGGCTTCTGACCAGCCTGGATATGGAATACCTCCTGTGAATTGGCAAAGATGTACATTTCGTCTTTCAGTCTTGAACATATTACTCGATTTTCAGCTTTTTTGAATTAGAAACGTAATACATTTTTACTTGCAGATTATTGAACGAAAGTTTAGAAACAGAAACGAAGTTGCTAAGGAAATTAATCACCAGTTGGAATGTTCATTCTGGAAATTTTATAGTCATGGCCTACCGATAAACGATTACAGTCACACTTCCTTGATACGTACACCAGGGGGATAGAGCTACGTACTCGCAATACAAGAGCGTCATGGTAGAGATTGCATGGAGGTTTTCGTCAGGATCGCGACAACTGTCTGTAATACAGAGTTTAAAGAGATGTCGCCTGTATTGCGGAGGTCAGCACGGAAAGGTTAGACTGTATTAGTTCACTTTAGACTAATGATTTTCATGTATTGCATTTACATATTTGTGGGATTCACAATTGCTTAAATTATATCTGTCCCCGTAGAATTATCTCTCTGTCTCAGATACCACGTAAGGGACTTTTAGCTGCGGGTGCGAGTGAAACTATCTCATTTTACCCTTTTACTCTTATTAGTTCCCGCTCTGAAGGTAACTCTAGGAATAATATTACTGTGGAGGAGTGATCAACTATCGGAAGCGGACATAGGAAGTCCCATTTTAATTTTCTGCATACTATCTAGAGCGATCTTTACAAAATTAAATTTTCTACAAATTTTGGTGGAAAAAGTTAGAAAGGTGAAAATCTTTGTGTTGAAGCCAAAACGTTTTAATACGTCACCTACCAATGGTGAATATCTCGTACAGAACGACTCCATATGACCACCTGCCACCAAACAAAAACATAATCAGAAAGAATGCTTGTTGCTTGATATTTTGTGGTGTTCTGTAAACTACTATTTTCTGAGTTGTTCAGTTATGAAACAATAATGACTTATGCTTTAGTGATGCTTGAAAGCAATCCTTTTTGGAGAAATAATCCTTTCAATGTACGCTGTTACCTTTCAACGAAAAAATACATATCAGATTTTTGGCAGCAGCTAATAATGGATCGTGAGGATGATCATGTTAATACGCAGTTTCAACTCGCCGTCGGCTTGCACAGCGGTCAAAAAACCTTCCTTAAGCAACCACCCAAACCGACAAGATTTAGGTGAGAAAACTGATTTTCTTACTTGGATAGGTAGACGGAAAGGGAATTTCGACCGTAAATTACAAAGGACGCAGGAAGTAAGAAAAGAGAGAGTTTATCATATTCAGCACCTGCCCCGTGCTTCCGTCATTATTAACAGTGCTATCATCTTATTCTGTTAAACATCTTGCTGTAATTGCTTTCTGATTAACTCGTTTGTGTTAAAACATACACGTCACTGTTGGTGGAAAGTTCTGCAGGATTTCCGTAAAGAATCTCAGGTGCCGTCCACTTAACAGGGATGCAACCCTATGATAGCAAAGAGATAAGAAAGAAACATTCACATATGCTGTTGTTTTACATAGGTCTACTAGCTTTACCTAGCTAGGCTGAAATTGTACTTTCTGGTCTAATTTTAGATACGAAAGACAACCGTAAATTGAAGTTAGGTTATTCAGAAATTGGATTGTGCAAACTGTTTTATCGTTATATTTCTTTTTTCTCACCAGTTTGCTTATGCCAAAAGTAGCGTGCTGGGTAGCCATTTTTTTGTTTCTTTTCTACCAAGACTTAAGTTGAAAAAGAAAAGTACAGAATATAACTGTGTTGAACTCAGGAGAATTATTAAAGAAATAATGACACAGGATAAGTTTGTGCCAGTTTCATAGGTGAAGAAGAAGAAAACTTGAAGCGTTTCAAGTTTGTAATTTTATTGTAGCGGTTTATAGAACCTGATACAGTCATGAAAAATTTACTTGGAGTAGCTACTTCTAGCTTAGTTAAAGGGGCGGTTTCCTTTCCATTGAGACTACTAACTGTTGGACTGGAAAGAGACTCTTAATCTTTTCTTCAACATTACTGGCGCGTGTTTTGCTCGAGGGACTTAAAAATAAGGGGCTCCTCTTAGTCTACTAAAATTCAATCCTACCAAACTGTCCCTTTAACTGAATTCGGATTATACTTTAGCGAGAGCTTCTGTTTCCGTCAAATTTGTCAATAAATCTATCAGAATAATTAATTTAGCGTTTAACAAAGCGCTAGAGTTTGATAGGTAAAATTCGCGTACCTTTTTTGCATTGCCGTGGCCATACTTGAAGCTTTGATATGATAACCCAAAATCGGTAACCTTGCAAACAAAGTTTTGATCAAGAAGGACGTTCCTTGCCGCCAAATCACGGTGAATTATCTAAAAATAAAGACATGTTTAATGGTCCTAACTAACAGAAACAAATTTGATCACTTCTTTTCAATAATTCTTAGTCTCTAAAGATGCGAGTATGGAGGAGGTTTGTTTGGGAATATATCTTGTAATCGACAGTCTCTGCAATAAAATTTTAACCTTTTACAGTCCCTTGACAGAGGGACCAATACTTTTGATATTTTAATCGCTAGTAAGCGACCGCCCAAAAGGCGAGGACTTAGTGGTCGCTTATGGGAAGTGGTCTTCTACAAGAATCGAACCACAGGGTGTCTCTTCCAAGGTGAGTTCCGGACACGTCTAAAAATAATTCATTGCAAGCAATTTCTATTTCGCAAAATATGTACTTCTATTTTGTTTCTAATAGCTCTTCTTATACTCTTCGTATCAAGGAACGTACAGCGAACATACACATCAGACCATGCGTCAAGCGGTCACTTACAAGAAGTGGTCGTCCATGAGAGGTTTGAACTAAAAAGCGTTGACCGTGCTTTGGATAGGCGGTCGCTTACGACATGTGGTCGCATATGGAGGTTGACTGTATCATAATACATTGCACTCATCTGTCTTATCACTGTCCAAGATATATCGCCTTTATCGACTTGACCAAGGCCTTTAACCTAGTCATCAAAAAGGGTCTATTCACTCTCCCGCAGAGGATGGGATGCCCCCCCCAAGTTCCTAAGGATGATCACGTCTTTCATCAGCTCAACCTCAGACCCCTTCCAAATCAAGAGCTGAGTGAAACAGGGCTGTGTACTCGCTTCCACACTCTTCTGCATGTTTTCTTCCTACTGCTGTCTTACGCCTTCAGCCAGAAAAAATAAATGGTGTGTACCTTCACACCACAAGCGATGGAAACCTTGCACGTCTCCGAGCAAACACTAAGGTTCGGAAAGTACTGATAAGACAGATGCTGTCTTAACCGCACACAGCGATCTCATCAGCCTCGAGTTCGAGTTTGGTATCACCATCCGTCTCAAGAAGACCAACATCCTTGGCCAAGAAGTCAGCAGCACCCCAAGCATGTTCATCGGCGACTACACTCTCAAGGCGGTGGAGGACTTCAGTTACCTTGGTTCCATCATCTCCAGCAACCTCTCCCTAGACACTGAACTGAACAAACGAACTGGCCAAGCCGCAGCAGTACTGGCACTTCTCAGAAAGACGATCTGGGACAACACCATGTTGACCATCAGCAACAAGATGAAAGTATACCAGGCCTGCGTGCACACTACTCTATAGTAGCAAGACCTGGACCCTCTACTCCTACCAAGACTTTCCACCTGCGCTGCCTCAGAAGGATTTTAGGCATCACCTGGCGAGACTGTGTCCCAAACAAGGATGTCGTAGCATAGGCGAGATTACCTAGCATGTTCGCCTTGTTCAATCAGAGACGACTAGGCTGGCTTGGCCAAGTAAAACGCATGAAAGACGGACAAATTCCTAAGAAAATACTGTGCAGCAACCTTACCACTGGAACTAGACCGGTAGAAAGGCCTAGCCTTCGCTTCAAAGTTGAAGGCAGGCAATATCAACCCTACACATTGGGAAGCTATAGCTGCAGACCGAAATCACTGGAGGCTTGCTGAAAAGACAGGCGGGTGAGGAGAGGAGAAAAGAGCAGTGGGGTGGGAGGACAGAGCACCCGCAGAGCTAAGTACGGAGTTCATCTGCAACAACTGTAACAGAACCTGCCAATCCAGAATCGGACTGGACAGCCACAGCAGGCGCTGCAACTCAACCACCGACTAAACTTTGGCGCTGATTCCATTGTCTCCCGAGACAGACGGATGCAAACAATTATCTAAGAGCCTACAGTTAATTTTGCAAATCATCGCAACCTATAGATTAGTTTGTAATAGAGCGTATTCACATAACGTGATATTTTTCACGGGAAATTTGAGTCGCCATGTTGGTGCTCCACATTTTCCAACATGGCGGAACATCCTCGCTAAGATTATGCGAACACGCTCGATCCTCACGTGAAAAAATTTTACTTTGAGAAGATTTCTTGTGTTGGAATCGATCCTATCCCGATACCAGACAAAACATACGATCCAGAGTGCCTGTCTCGTGTCGAATCCATGGATCTACTGTCTTTTTTGGTGCTCGACACGAGTTATCACAGGAAGGAACAATTTAAGGCTTACAGATACCAGAAACCAGTCAAAGGGCTCTAGCTTCTATCGTCACGGGGCTGGTAGGCATCAATTACCAAGCAGCATGTCAAACCAACCCAGCACAGCCATCACAATCACTTATTGAAACAATTTGTTACCCAAACATGGTTGTAAACATGAAAGTGTTGCTATTGAAGCTTATGAAAAGGTCATGAAGGAAAAGCACATCAACTTTCAAGTAACAAAATGTGGCACGTTTATCAATTAACAGTATCCATGGTTGCATGCCACACCTGACTTTTTTTGTAGGTGTGATTGCTGTGGGGATGGATGCGAGGAGGTTAAATGCCCTATTGTTTGAAGGATACAGACTTAAAGCAGTATATTAACAAATACATCTCTCGTTTGAAGTCAGAAAATGGAGATGCAAGTCTAAAGAGGAAACATGCCTACTATTACCAAACCCAACATAAAACAACAAATATTCACTGCTGGGAAGCCTTACTGTGACTTTGTTGTTTGTGCTTTTAAGGAGCAAATTGATCTCTTCTGTAAAAGAATTTTGCCTGATGTCAGCCACTGGCACTCTGTTGTTTCCAAACTTACTTACTTCTGGAGATACCGTGTGCTACCAGAAATACTGGGAAGGTGGTATATTCAAAAGGTCATCACCTGATCCCAGTTCTGCTTGTTTTGCAGGCTGGCGACTGGAGGCACAAACCAAGCATGCCACATTTCTACATCTCATTTATCTTGTTTGAAAATTAAAAAAGTACCTAGCAAGTGGTTTTGTCCCTTGTGCCAAGAAAACACTAGCAGCCAGAAATGAGAAATCAAAATGTAAACAGACAAGAGATATTTTGGATGAAGCTCTCAAATTAGATTTTATTTGGACGTACAAACAGAAGGCATTGTGTTCAGATAAACTGCTGAAATGCTATGACCCATTTTGTCAAAGTGGAAAGTTTTTTACATACTTACCAAGAGCCACCCAGAGGGAGGGAAGGGCTGGGAGCAAGAAGTACTGGGGCCCTGAAAAAGCCCTAAGCCCGCCCCACATACGATTAGCAATGGAGACTGCTGGCCAGCATTGTCTCGTGTTTAACCTCGCCTAAATTACATTTAGCCACGTTAAAAATCTAGTGTATTGAAAATGTTTCCTACATTTTAGACAACGTAAGGTACATCTTCAATTAAAAAATTTTTGAAGAGAAGGAATTTGCTTTGTTAAAGAGAAAATAATATAGTTGCTCAATGGACCTGCATATTGGAAAGGAATAATCTATTCAAAAAGTAAGTCTGAAATGAATTTAACGCAATAACTAACCTGATAACTTCATTGATCACTAAGTTCTTGATTGACAAACATCAGCCATGTGCAGTAGCAAAATATTCACACAAGTGATAAGAAACCGCATATTGATCTCACCAGATGGTCCTATTGATGCTTAGGCTAAGCTCATTTGTGTTACCCTTGTGCCTTTCAGTCAAAAAGAGCATAAATTTCCTATAGAACTCACCCGGCTTGCACTTAAGCTTAGTGGCTTGCTCTTTCAAATATGTCCTTATTGCCTTTTTCCGACAACATTTTGTAACACTTCTCCAGTACTGCGATAAATTTATGCATGACACCACTATGTTTTGTATTGTTTCGCTTCATTCTACATTGCCATGCTTTTGTGAAGTATTATTATGTGAAGCCAATACAATACAATGCCATACATAACTTTTTCGGAGTATTTTAAATTAAACAACAATTCTATCTTGCTAATGTTCACAAAGATATAAATGTCTTACAAAAGCTGATGAGCTTACTCAAAGGGAACAATAGATGGGGAAAGATTTGTAAGGGCTCCACAAACCCTGATCATCCTGTCAATAGGTGGGATTTTTTCAGTTTTCTCTGAACATGTCAAATAATTTATTGGTAGTGTTCCCTGCCGGATAGAATACTTTTGTCACGCTCAAAAATGTTTGTGCTCTTGCTAGAAGATTTGAAGGTCGCTCTATAAAGATTTCAAAACAGTCAATAATAATGGTGTTTTTTTTCCAAATGAGAACTGAAAAAAAAGAGGCATTGTGTGCCAGAGCTCATCTCGTTCAGGACATCTGATGATAGGGGAAATCCTGATATTCATCACAGTTAACCAGGTGGAGAAGGGTCTTGAAACAGGAGAAAGAGAAACCCCACACCTATAGGCAAGGTCTTGTACAGGAACATTCAACCTTAATTTCATTAATACCAAAAAAAAAATTCTTGAAACAAAGACAAGCTTTTACTCCTTCGTTTGACGAACGGACTGATGAAAGAAAACGTTGCTTTGAGCAAATTAAAACCCGACAAACCAGCGTAAAACCTCACTCTGTCATCATGATTAGCAAAATATTCCTCAGTAAATGGTTGCAGAACAGCTTGCTTAAATAAATATTCAAATTCATTCGTTTGAGTTGCAGCATTTTGGGTTTTTACCCTTGATTCTGGTGCTTGAGTTTCAGCATTCATTGTTTTCTGGCCATGACTGCCGTATAAATAATAATTTTTCCTTAGTTTCTTACTCTTTGTCATCAACATTGAAAGCCTGGGCTTCGGGCTTGGTCTCGTAGAATATCTCATCAGCTGTTTCCCCTGTATCATCTAATCGTTTCATTATCTCTTCTACCTCCTTTTCTGCGATCTCTGCTCGACGTTTGCGTCTTCTGGCAACTCTGTGGGCTCGAGCAGCTGCTTCTTCAGGATCTTGAATGCCCAAGATGGATGTTGGGGACCTAGCTTCTCCTGAAACCAAATGTCGGCTGCAGACCCGAACGCGTTATAAAATATCGTCAGTTAAGTCATCTCTACTTATCGCAGAGATCCACATTCCTCTTCGCTCAGAGGTGAGCTCTTCGGTGTACTTTCCTGGATTGACTATAACACGTGGGACACGAAAAAGTCTTACTTTTTCGATGTTAGACCGCTTCTTCCTTGTTTTGTTCCCACAGCTAATGACAAGGCACAGGACCATAATGAAAACAATATAAATATTACCCTAACGTCTTCTCACAACTGTAAAATCTGCTCTAAATATTGCTGTCACGCTACTGAACGCCGTTTACGATGGAACCATGACGATATAGAAATTTGGTCACGTGAGTGAATACGCTCTATATATACTAGCAAATATCTGACTAAACTGTAGCTGCGCACGGAAATCGTGATTTTGCATCAAAAACATGGCTCTTTGTTTTTGTCGTTATTTTTTCTTCTTCTCGGAAAGTGTTGTATATAATGACACTTACATCTGATATCGATCGCTTTACGATCCCACATTATGGAAGCGGTGCTTTTCGAACCACCTGTGCTATAGCGATGGAACAAGGGAATCGCTGGGTCAATCGTTCGCTTACCGCTCCCAGAAAAGTCTTTGGCTGCCTAATTCAATTTTTTTAGCTATGAGGAAATATTACTGCGTTATATTATAACGTTATTCATTTCTTGCAAGTGGTCCTAAGTCTTGACCTGATTGTTATATCTAATACATTCCTTCTCGCCAAGGTACAGTGAAGGACTGAAACCACTCAACAAAAGTCGCCCCTGACGTTTTCTTAAATGGAATTTGTCTTGAGTTGGTACGGACAACTAAATCTGCAGCGGAGTAATGAAGCAAAGAGCAAGTAACAGCAAATTTTACATTTCATAATTGTTCACATACCCCTCTGCTTCCAAGATACACCATTCCAGTAGCAATGTGCTTCGCAAATAAGACCAGGTCATATGGCTGCAGCTCAAAAGCCTCACCCTCTCCATGATGATGTGGGTCGTGAATTCCTCGGCTCTTTCTCAAGTAACCCAGCAGGTCTCCATATGCCATGTACTCAATGATCATTATTGGGTGAACTGTAGTGAGACACAATGGAAATCACTGAACACTCGGTTATCGCAACAGTATGTTACATTTAAAAGAAAAAGAAGAAGAAGACTAAATATAATGAATGATGATTTTTACTTTGTGTCGTAACGCAGCCGATGAATTTGACAACGTTAATATGTGGACTTTCTGCTAGACGTTTTCCTAATTCAATCTCCTTCATAAGAGCTTTTCTTCCTTCTTCTCCAGAAGTCGCTACAACAGAAGTGATGAGAGCAAATTCAGTCAGCTTTGATTCTTAATCACGCCACATAACACTAGGGCCAGCCACAATAGCAATTATATAAGGCACACTTGTGCTCACAATCAAAGATAAAGGTGTCTAGTGTAATATGTTGAACTGACTCACGAGTGAAGTGTTTTGCTGCCACAGTCTGTGCTCCATGCTTTTTGTCTGATTGTTTCAAAGTTGCTTTCCAGACTGCCCCAAATGCCCCAGAACCAATCACATTTTCTAGCTTTATACGGTCGCGTGCAACCTCCCATTCATCCACCTCGTGAACCAACTCCTTCAGTTCAAATTCCTGATGTTCATCAGCGAGACTGTAAAAGGTGAATAGGTGGCAAAAAGCTATTACTAAGAGAATTAGGATAGTGTATAATTGTGCAGACGACTTCAACTCGGAAGCGTTCGAAGCAAAAAAGAAAAGAGATATATCACTAAACATCACGGGGAAAAAAACAAAGAAACAAACAAGAAAGAACACAAACTAAAACAATACGACAGGAAGAACGTGAACCAGGATCAGTTTTTTTATCATTTTAATAGAGAGTCTTTAGTCCACAATTACCAAACGCGTCATGCCAGTTTTGCATCTTTAAGCATAATTTTGATAGGAACAATAAGACCTCGTACCTTTTATTGTCTATTTTACGTGCGTAGTATTTTTATTGTTTAGTATAGTTTTAATTTAGTGACAGGTCTCGTCTTAAAACCACCCACGGGTGATGGCGAATTCCTGTATAAAGATTCTAATTACTTTTAATTACTTTACTATTAATTTAAATTTAATAATTAAATTAAATTAAATATATATTCAATATGATCTTTTCGCTGCTTTCCTTTACTTTTGAAAGTGTTAGTTTAATCGTCTTTATCAACGTATCACCCTGCCAGCAAAACCCTTCTTTCTCTTGCTCGATTTTGGTGTACTCAAGGAAGACTGTGCTTGAATCGAGTAAGATCTCTGTTGAACATGCGCGGTATGTTGCTAAGGTATTTCAACCCAGGCCTAATAGCCGTGCGTTTACTACGGCGGGCTCGGCTATGACCAGCGGTTTAACATTGAACGGATGCTCGTTCTCGAAAAATTGTTTGAAAAAGAGAAAAAAGATTAACTACCCCAGAAGTTTGGGCTGAGGCAGCCCCAAAGGCTTGACGCTATTTGGCCGGAGCCTCTTTTTCTCCCCGATAAAGAAGACAAAAGTAGGCTCTGCTTGCAGTGGGTCAACAAATTAGCCCCTCAAGTACATAGAATGCAGGATTTAAAGATTACACTTACTTGGCCTTGGCTGTTCCCCATGAAGAAGAAACGAAGACAAAAAATAACGAGTCAATACAACGGTCTTTTAAAATATGTTGAAAAGGGCAAAGCAATACTAATAACAATGCCAAGGCGACAGGAGGTCACCTGGTACCAGGAAATTAAAGGGATCGTAAGACCAAGAAAATCGTGCCAACTGACAAAAATAATAACAATTAGATACTTGTAATAACGACAGTCTATAAGTACGTTGAAAACTGGCAGCAAAAACTATTAGACAACGAGTAGCCTTTTATTTCGATCAGGAATAGTTGAGTGAGCGAGCGAGCGAATTACGAGAGCGCGCGTTATAATTACTCCTGAATTAAGTGTAACATAAGAATTAAATAAGTTAACAATCATAGATAACGATCATTTTTACAGGAATAATGCAAATCTAAAAAAACATGACGGTCAAACTTTGTTTACCATGGTAACGTCAAGTTGACGTACTCGTTACCGCGACTCTAACAGGATCTCAGATAATTTTTAGGAAAGTCCCTAAGTTTGGCGGTCATAGCTTGAACGGTTGTGAAGTTATTCAACTTTATCTTGAGGGGAGGCCACAAACGCTCTCCCCCCAGTCTGAATAGGATGGAGACGATGAGGAGAAAAAATGGAGCATCTTTATAAATGGAATTTAAGGCATTCACTTTTGTTGTCGGGAACGTTGCCTGTTGCTATGGTGACTATTTAGAGGACATAGTTTATTGTCACACCTTTCAGTCGTCTCTTGCACATGTACCAGATGAACAGTGTAAAAAATATGACTGCAGAAATGGGGCCAACAATATAATACCACTGCAGTGACGACCCGCTCGGAATCAGCGGAATAACTGTAGAAAAAGTAAGGGATTAGCTTGTAAGAGTAGCAAAACGTTAACTCTGGTATTTGATAAAACAGGTTTTAATCTTTAACACCTGACAACTGTTTCAGTCTTCTTCGCTTTACGTTTTACAGACAAACCTTTATTAAGCAGCCATCTATTAGCATCTCAAACTATCACACTGTAGACTTCCCTATCGGGTATTGTTCTTATTTTCTTTTTTACCTTTGTTAAACGGTACGTTACCTAATTAGGTACAAATGCGATTCTTCAAAAAGCTCATGAAACATGTTACGTTAAGTCAAGGAAAGCGCACCATATCGATCGGATATACAATCATAAATGCGACCTGGTTTGCAACCGCAGCGGCCGCTCACATAACAAGCTTGTTCATCTAGCCATCTTACATTGCAGCCAAGTCCAAGAAATACTGTTTCTAACCCCCAGACTGGCTCACAACGAACTCAAGACCAACAACACTCGTTTTCCGTTAATTTGGACTCTTCCTCTTCAGAAAGGTCCTGACCAATTATGGCTAATAAATCACTGAGCCAAGTTGTTTGAACGAACTTCAACTATTTGTACTCTTCAGCACTTCAGTTTTTTTGCTAAAAATAAAGTCATGTATATTGTCAGATACATGCTCATTTAATACAATAATAACAAAAATTTTTTTATATAGCTCACACTACTTTTTTAATCTCCTATCATTATAATTGCTGGAATGACTGCTTAATACAGGTTTAACTGTTTAGTGCCCTTGTTGCGCCCATATTTTCTCCAACTACTTTTTTTGAGAAAACAAAATTACTCTACCTGCAACTCTGATCTCGACAGTTGAGGAACTGGAGCCCTCTGCATTGCGTGCTTCGCAAGAATAGTCGCCACTGTCGTCACTCCCAACGTTGCTAATGACAAGAGTACTTGAGTCACCAACCCTACCGACTCGAACCTTTTCGTTTTCAGGTAGTGGGAGGCCGTTTTTCTCCCAGTTGACTTTCACTTTTAAACCACTGACTTTACAGGTTAAATTAATGTTTTCACCGGCTAGGATTGTGACAAATGAACTTCCGGCTATTACGGCTGTAGGTTTTCCTAATATCAGAAGAGAATCGTAAAGTAGTAAAGGAAATTTTAAATAATTATTGACACCGACTAAGAAAATTGTACGGAAAACGTGTATATTGTTTAGGTTACTTGACTTGCACTCCGGGAGTGATATTATTTTCCCGTTTTTTAAGACAATGATACATAAAATAGCTTAATTAAAGCAACTTTATACATAAAAAGAAAAGCTAGTAATGGTATCATCAAAAGCCTGCAAAGGTTACACAGCACATGTCCTAAAAAATTACCTACAATATCTATGCATTTTAAAGTTTACAGAACTGCAAAAAACTAGAAAGGATCACAGCTCTAACATTTTGGGTAAAGAAATGATTATAATGCAAGAGAAAAAATGAAATCAATATGTTTGACTGGTAGTGGTGCATGGAGGTTTTGGTCCGGTTTAAGTACGGGGAAGGACGAGTAAAATTGTGGCTCATGAATAAAATGAGTGGAAGACTTATTTAATTTATGCCAAAACTTGTTCAGTCAAGTACCAGTAATGACGTCACGACACCATAAGGAGGCGTGTCAATGTCTATTTGACAATTTAGTAAGCCCATTGTTCTTCAACATAAAACCCTTAGGATTTCAGCGACAACGTGCAATATTTTCTTTTACAATGGCTTTAAGAAGTGATACACTATATGTTTCATTAAATATTGTAAAGAGATTAAATAAGAACGGTCGCTTAAAGAAAGGCATGGACATCAAATAAGCCAAGACTAATATACGAAAGCAAATGGGAGGTAACCTATTAACCAGTATTTTATCAATGGACAGAGCCTTGGCACCAACAATTAGTAAAACACTTGGTCTGTCAGCATTAGCAGGTCTTGCTAGTGAAGGCGCCAGTCAGTTGGTAAAAAAGATATCTGGAGGTAACGTACTGATGGATTTTGCATCAGAATTAAACAAAAGGGTTGATAATAGACGGCAGCCAAGAAGTAATCAGCTGGCTGACAGAATTCTTGCATCAGCATATGGGAGGCAAAGAGGAGGCTTTTTGATCACACTGAATGCAATCGGCCAGTTGATGCCATATGAAGACCTTCTATCCACAAAACAAAAGCGGGATCTTCTCAGTGCTATCAAAACTGGTTCAGATTTTCATATAAACCAACTCAAGCACAGATGGGTAGTGGCATTGGGACTATTCTCGCATCCATTGGTATTCCATTAGCTGTTGACCTGATTAAAAAAAATGACCGGCGGAAGTGCACTAAGATTTGGGAGAAGTCCTCTGCAAGGAAAACAAGATGGCCATCGAGCCTCTCGATTGGGTATGTATGAACCACCCCTTCCTTTTATTGGAACATGGGAACAGATGCATGGTGGTCGTAAAAATAAAGAACTCGAACGGGCCACGGTCTGCTATTAGGGAAAAATTCACTATTCAAAACATACCTCTGTTAAACCTCATACTGTAAAACCCAATTCCACAAAAATATCCGAACGAGTAATCATGATCTAACAAAATGGTGTAAATATTTGAATATACCTATAAAAGATGTGCTGTCGAGAGATCAGGCAGTTCCTCACAACCATAGGCAAGCATTATGTATTTATAATCTTGAGCCATCTTCTATGAGTGGGTCTCACTGGGTCTCAACATACGTAAAAGATGGTGTTATTAATTATTTTGACAGTTTTGGGATGCATCCGTTTCAAGAAATTGTTGATCATGCCAGAAGCAAGAATTTGACGTTATTGCATCAAAACAACCGGATACAAAATATTCACACAGGCAGTTACTTCTGTTTTTACTTTTTGAATGAGATGAGCAAGGGTACAACATATTATGATCTACTGGATGTATTTAACATTCATGACACAATGAAGAATGAGTAGTTTATAGAAAAGTATTTTAAAAATAAGTAATCTAATAGTATGGAATCAAATAGACTATGTATGTATTGTGTAAAGACCACATTCCACTGTTTGAACGAGCATTTTCAATTTAGATGGATAACCTGTGCGTTTCACCCCAAAATAAAACCAATTAATATAATCTCTATATATAATGACTGATAAATTCTGCGTATATTGCCAAGAAGTTACTCCACAAAATGTGAATGAGTATGGTGCTTTAGAGTGCTGCAATTGTGAACCTTTGAGTGAGAGTGATTATGAGAGAGAATCTGATAGCTCTCAAGATGATCCAAGCGTCGGTTAAGGCAACACGATTCCTTTTTCGGCATTAGTTCGAATGACTAAGTATAGTTAAATCAATTATTGCCAAAAACAAAATCTCTGTAATACATGTTTCATTTAAGTAAAATTATGAGTACAATTTCAGTTGCCAACGAGAAAAACAATTCCGTAAATAACCGACAGCAAAACGAACTTCTAAAGGTAAAATGTTAAGGTTCCATTACTTTAGGCTCCTCATAGTCCGCGAGAGCACAAAAAAAAATATGTAGACTAGGGTCACTCATGCCTCTCTTACCTATACATACGGGAACGCTTCCATTCCATGTCCCGTCATTGCACGTAATGCTACTGATGCCACGTAATGTAAAACCACTTTGGCATGTGAAAGTCACGTTTTTCCCATGTCTGAAATCACTGCCACTTTTGTTACCGTTTTGTGGAGCTCCTGGATTAGTGCAACTCTCTGTGAAGTTGGAAACGGGGCATTACGATAATTACAACCATTAATTTAAGAGATGCACAATCAATCTGTAATTTACAGAAGCCGACATCTTTACGTTAATCATTCCATAACTGAGGACACCATTCTTGAATGTGCTCTTGTGCAAATAGTTAGTGTAAGAAAAAAACTTCGTCTTTGAGATTAGAAGTTAAAGGAAACACCCTTGCAAAGCGATAACTGTGCGCTCCAAATTCCTTCACGGCAATCGATAGTCTGGGCACCAACCAAAGTGTATCCAACATTTCATGAAAAGCTCAATGTTTTGCCATGGTCAAAACTGCTGCCTATCCTTCCACCGCGTTCTGGAATACCAGGATCCTTACAACTAGCTTACAACAGGAAAAATACATTTTTCCAATTATTTGGCGCATTGATAAATTTTCGAGACTCTTATTGAGGACCTGTTTACATGGAAGTGGGAAACCCCAGATAGGTGAAGTAACATATATCTGGTTACCCCACCTATCAGGTAAACGTGCTCAAATTAACATAAGAGATTATATAAACAGGCGGGTTACCCCACCTAAGCGGGTTACCTCACCTACCTGGGGTCTTTTGTCCTTTTATAAAGTTTTCCTTTTTAATTCAATATGGAACAATTATATTAGTTTTATGTATCTCTCCGTTCTGCAAAACTGTTACTTTGTTAATCTCTCTTTTAAACTCTTTTTGAAATCTGTAATATTAAAACTTGTGAGACTGACCTGCCTCGATAAGCCTAGCTACCTGCAGGTCAGTTGGATTGTAAAATAATAAAAAAAACTTGAAACTTTAAATTTTGATTTTTCAGAGTAATAGTGAAAGCATAACTTACTTTTGCAGTGTGGTGAATTTGAGCTCCAACGTCCCCTGCGACACTCAATTGTTTTGTTACCAACCAATGTGTATCCAGCCTTGCATGTAAAGTTCACCGTTGAGCCAGAGTCGTAATTTTTACCATGCTTTGCCCCGTTTTGAGGAGTTTCAGGGTCGTTGCAGGTTGCTAAAAAGTAATTATGAAAATAATGTCGATGTACTAATTGCTCAGGAAAAGCATCGACTGAAAGTTATATGAATCGCAGAAAAGTGCTGGAAGATAATGTCAACTATTTAAGTGTAACCTAATGATATCAAAGGCTTTTAGATCAAGTGATTATTTGCAAGGAAATGAACTGGTGAGATATCAGCTAAATGATGTCATCAGATCACCTTTAAAAAAACCAACACCAAATAAAGGATGGTTAAAAATTTACAATATATGACAGGATTTCATTTTATGATTGGTATAATGCCTATTTTGAGATCCAGTTTAAGCCTCAAAAACTTGCCGAAGGAGCGGGATATGTAGCGGCGGATAGAATAACAGTAATTAACGGTGCTCACAGCCTTATCACGCATCTAATGATAAAATCAGCAGGCAAAATTGTATATGATACAGACAACCTTCATAATGTCACATTTACAAAGAATCTATTAGAGTATTCTGATGATTACAGCAGATCAGTTGCAAAAAACAGTCTATGATATTTAGATACCGACAATACCACAGCAAACACAAATACGGGATTTTGAAGCACGTCGATTGCTCACCCAAGCAAATAATAATAATAACGGTGGCGGAGGGGCAAAAGTTGTCAAAGATGTAATAATTCCACTTAACAGATACTCGTTTTTGAAGAGCTTGAAGACAAAATGCTAGTTCCCATGCAGCTCCAATTTAACATGGAACTAAATAATGATGATGAATTGATACATAAAGCCCACGGTGCTGATAATGGCCGTTTTGTTGTTAATAGGTTTCTTCTATGGATTCCAAAATTAACTCCAAAAGACGACATGTATAATAAATTCGTCAGCTCATTTCTAAAAGAAACACAATGGACATACATGAGGGAATTGTACGAAGTTTCAGCGCCAACTCAAGCAATTGTTTTTTCCCAAATATCTGCTAGTATCGATAATGTCAAACGTATTCTTGTTTACCTAAAAAATTCTTACAGAGATAACAATGGAGATAGGCATTCTGAAAATAGCCCATATATAATGAATACGTTTTCACTACCAGGAGGGGCATCTCTGAGCAGCTGCCGCTTAGAATATGGTAATGGCGTCTTTCACCCAGAAAGTGAGTATTATAGTGATAGTAAAGGGAGGATTTTCAATGACCTTATGGCGAATGTTATGAGAAAGAATGATTACAATACTAGCACACACGCAATTGAATCTTGCTAATTACAACCGTCTGTTTCCATTGATTTATTTTGATCTGACTTATCAGACAGAAAAGGTGACAAGAGATCCCCAACAGCTGATTTTCAGATACAGATTATCAGGCAATGCAAATCAAATTGCTGTACATGCTGTTGTTCTTTATGAAGAGATCTTTAAGACTAGGTATACCTATCGATAGAGTGCCAACGAGCAAATCATGCGTATTTTGCTTAGGAATAAAATTCCTTTTTTTTCCCATTTGACCGTTTCTTGGTCCCTTCCTGTTGCAAGGATTATTTTCTTGAAAAGTTCTCAGATTCAGTATGGTGGCTTTACAAGCCTCCTATGCAAAAGTGTGAAGTGCCTTGAAAGAATAAAGTCAGCTTTGCAGAGGAAGCGATCGGGAATATTATTAAGTCCAGCTACAAATCTACCCTCGGTTCGGTTTCACTTTGTTGATAAATATTTGCACAGTTTAATCATTTAAACCTCCTTTTAAATTTCCCGAGGCTTTTTGTTATCGGATTGAAACTTAGAATGATTCACTTGGCCATCTGAAATGTTTCCAAGGACATGCGATGTACGGCACGTCGGTATTTAATTTTAGTTCATTATTTTTATACTGAACTCGGCCAGGTTTCGAAAAAAATGGCGTTGTTTTCTTTTCCTTTGTCGTTCGCTTTAGGCTTGTAATTCGTTTTTGTTCTCATTGTTTTTGTTTGCTGGTTAGATTTTTTCCCCAACACCAGATTTTCCAACAGAAGCGACTGCATTCTTCGTGTCAAGCTTTCATTATCTCCTCGTGTAATCTGATCCTTTTTAGTGGTGAGAATATTGCTTGCTGCTTATAGAACACTTTTGCTGTTTTACAAACTTCTCTTCGTTAAAACTTAACATTATGGCCCCTAAAATTAATAGAATATATCGAGTGCTCATGTCTCTTGACTGCGGTGGCCGGGTTTGACGAAAAAATTTCGGTAAATAAACACAGGAAGTCACGACGGCGGGAAGTGTGTGAAATTTTGTTTATTATTCAACTTGAGCCGGGGCGCCAGGTACTGCCTTTTGATTGGTTCACAACTGACCACTTGGTCTCAGGGGAATCTACATTACATTAGAGGTTACATGTATTTATCATGGGTTATGTAACCTTTTCTTTGGGGTGTTACATGGTATGCTGTTCTGTTGCTTCATTAGCGGTAGGCTATATATTTGAGTTGTTCTCATTTATATTCATTCGCGTCTTACGACCGTCCCTACGCCCTCAAAATTATGTCCGATGTTGAAGACGTTACTCCAGCGAGCACAGATTTTCCTGGCAGCGACGTTTTGCTGCCTTCGCTCCCTAATCAACCTTTGTCTCAACCTCTCGAAGCTTCAGTACCAATCCAGTCTTCAGAATCCAGTGATATAGCGTCCGCGTTCTCTCTATTTAAGGATTATTTCGACAAGAAGTTGGGCGCCTTGAAGCGCGATATTCAAGACGAGTCGTGCAGTAATACCGATTCTGTGGCCAAAAAGCTTAAAGAAGAATCCAAGATCACGTTTAGATTCGAAGGTAATAAGAAACAGTTTCAATTCAACTCCGACCTTGCAGAGAAGGTGAAGTCGGCGTCAGTTGCTCTCGGGAAGAGAAAATTAGACCTTGTAAAAACTCACCTGGAAGAACTAGACTCTGACATCAAGAAGCGCAACAAACTTATCAGACTGGCAGACAAGTCCGCCGCCGGTTGGGATTTGGTGAACGAGTATTTATCAGACGAGCTGGCTAGCGGGTCAGAGGACGAAAAGCGTATCCGCCGTGCCGAGCAGAGGGCCCTTCGTAAACGCAACCAACGCCAACAGAAAGCGAAGCCATCCAAGCAAGGTTATTCACAACTCCAATCATCTACCGCAACCACCGCGTTTGCTGGCCAACATTCATCATCCTCCAGACCTATTTCTCGTACTTTTGGCGCTTTCAGCAAACCAAGATCAAGTGATATTTGTTTCGCCTGCGGCCAGCAAGGTCATTGGAGATCTCAGTGTCAAGTTAATCCTCAAGCCAGATCTTCAAGCTCGGGGCCGTCCTTTCCTAGTTCTTCTGGTCTTTCGGGCATTGGAGGTAAATAGGACCACAGAATTAAAAACTTGTTCTCCAAGGTTAGATATTAGCTTTACTCAATTTATTAGACATGTATCCTTCTTATTTGGAGTATTTCAGGGAAAGGGACTCTAGTTCATTAGTCGATTTCGATTATGATCGTAATCTATTTGAATTTGAACAGAATTCCGCATTGCCAGTACTTAAGGGTAGACTTAGGTCCTGTTTAAGTTATTGGCACACTATTGGTGCCAATAGTTTTGTCATCGATACTATTAAATTCGGTTATCGGATCCCATTCATTAGCACACCTTGTCAGGCGCGTTTTTCTAACAATCAGTCAGCTCTTAATAATGCGTCTTTCGTGGAGTCGGCTATCGCTGAATTAGTCCACACTCACGCCGTCGTTGAGGTGCCCTTTATTCCACATGTCGTTAATCCACTCTCTGTCTCGATACAGTCTTCAGGCAAGAAGAGGCTTATTCTGGACTTACGTCATGTCAATCATTTTATTTGGAAACAGAAGTTTAGGTGTGAAGATTGGAGAGTTTTATTATCATATGTTAATAAGGGCGATTACCTTTTCAGTTTCGATCTCAAGTCTGGATATCATCATATCGATATTTTTCCGGATCACCAAACTTTTCTGGGTTTCTCCTGGGTTTTTTCTGGTACCGTTCGGTATTTTTGTTTTGCATCACTTCCGTTCGGTCTAAGCTCAGCCCCATACGTCTTCACCAAGTGTCTCAGACCACTCGTTAAGTTTTGGAGGTCTAACGGGATTAAAATTGTTGTGTTCCTCGACGATGGGTGCGGAAAAGGGGATTCACTGCCTATGGCCAAGGAAAATTCATTGTTTGTGCAATCATCCTTAAGCAGTGCGGGGTTTGTTGCCAACTCCGCCAAATCACTATGGAACCCCACTCAGGTGCTTGTTTGGTTGGGTTTAAACTGGGACTTAGTTATCGGTACCATTTCTATTACCGATAGACGTATTTGCAAATTTATCGCTCTGATTGACAAATTTCTTCTATCCGCACCTTATGTTACGGCTCGGGATTGTGCCGTTATCGCAGGTCATGTTATGTCCATGTCGCCAGTTTTGGGTAACCTGACTCGTCTCAAAACCCGTTTTCTTTACAAGGTCATAGAATCCCGCCGTAGTTGGGATTCCCGTTTTAATATCGGGCTTCATAATGATTGCCTCTCTGAAATATTTTTCTGGAAAAACAATATCGTTAGTCTTAATACGAGACCTATTTTGCCTTATAATGCTCCCCTTTTGTTTAGCTATTCGGACGCTAGCAACGTCGCCTGCGGGGCTTTTGTTGTGGGCACTAATGAGGTGTCCCATCGTATGTGGACTGCTTGCGAAGCAGCTAAGAGCTCTACCTGGAGAGAACTTAAGGCTATACAATTTGCCTTAAGTGCGTTCAAAGCCTCGGTTCGGGGTAAGTGTGTAAAGTGGCATTCTGACAGCCAAGGGGCCGTTCGTGTTGTGGAGATAGGGAGTCCTAGTGCAGAATTGCATTCTATTGCGCTTGATATTTTCTATTTTTGTCGAACTTACAATATTACACTTATTCCCCAGTGGGTTCCCAGGGAACTTAATGCTTGTGCTGATGCGATTAGCCACATTGTAGACTTCGATGACTGGTATACAACCCCCGAGTTCTTCGCACACTTGGACCACCTTTGGGGCCCACATACAGTCGACAGGTTTGCGAATGCTGCCAACGCCCATCTTCCCAGATTCAATTCTAGGTTTCGCGTGCCCGGCACTGAAGCTGTTGACGCATTTTCAATCTCGTGGAATGGAGAGAATAATTGGCTAGTCCCTCCCGTCCACTGCATTACTAGGGCGGTTCAGCATCTCCTTGTATGCGGTGCGGTTGGTACTTTAGTCGTCCCTTATTGGCCGTCTAATGTGTTTTGGCCTTTCTTGTTCGCAAATGCTGTTCAATTCCAACCGTACGTCCTTGAGTACATTCATTTTCCCGACCCCTCAGGGATTTTTGCCCTTGGGTGTTACAAAGATTCACTCATTGGTTCAGACAGGTTTAACAGCGCGGTGCTGGCAGTCAGAATTGGCGCTAAGGGGCCTTAGTTTTTTCAAGCCGAGTGGCTTTATGTTGGCTCACGTGTTTTTTATTCCGCTCGTCGGTTCATTTGTCCTCGTTTCGCATGAAACTAGCTCGCCGAGTGGCTTGTTTACCGTCGTTTTTGAGTTGGCCCATTCGGCCTTAAATAGTTTTGCATCCGGTCAGAGGCATTACCAAGCGTCCATTTTTTATTGCTGTATTGACTCCCAGTGCGTGTACTGAGGAATTTTGCCATATATTTTTGTTCTTATCCTCGTAGAAGTTCTCAAAGATGCCTTGCAGCCTAATTTTCAACAGGTTGAAGACGGGCGACTCCGGGCACTGGTTCAAGATCTCCCCGCAGTTCTTCTTAAATCCAAAGCCGACAGTACCGCGAGGAAGTACGAAAAGGGCTTCAATACGTGGAGAAAATGGGCTTCTCAGTTTAAAGAAATTGTTATATTTCCCGCTTCTAGTGTGCACGTTTCATTGTTCTTTCTTAGCTTGATTCAAGAATCTGCTTCTTGCAGTACTATTGACGAAGTCCATTATGGGCTCAAGTGGGTGCATGATTTGGCAGGTCTACCCGACCCCTGTAATTCCTCGTTAGTTTTACCTTTAATAGAATCTGCTAAGAGGCTTCTCAGTATCCCTGTTAAAAAGAAAGAGCCTGTGACCCCCGAGGCTATTCAGCTTTTATTTTCTAAGTATGGATCGTCTTCAGCTAGTTTGTCTGATTTACGAGTGCTTACTTTGTGCGTTTTAGGTTATGCAGGGTTTTTTCGCTTTAACGAGTTGGTTCAGTTACGCAGGTGTGATTTTCAGTTTGAAGATTCTTTTATGAGAATCTTTGTTCATCGAAGTAAGACTGACGTTTACAGGGATGGGGCTTGGGTTGTTATCGCTAAAACTTTCAAGCATACATGTCCTTATTTATTAGTTCAACGATATTTTGTGGCCGCTTCTTTTTCAGCAGACAGCGAAGAGTTCATTTTTCGCCCTCTTGTTTTTCTTCGCAGTACCGGAGCTTATAAATTGCGCGGGTCTGTTCCTTTGTCTTATACTAGAGCGCGGGAGATAGTGCTTAGCGCTTTCGATTCCATCGGCCTTCCCAAGCAAGACTACGGTCTCCATAGCCTTAGGGCCGGAGGCGCCTCCGCTGCTGCTAATGCTCGAGTGCCTGACAGATTGTTTAAAAGACACGGCCGTTGGAAATCAGACAAGGCAAAAGACGGTTACATTAAGGATAGTGTTCATTCATTGTTGTCGGTTTCATTATCACTGGGTATTTAATTTTCCGTATTTCCCGTTCTTTTAGTTCGCACACGGCTCGTGTTGACACACCCCAATTGAGGTTGCTTGTTACATGATAAATGTTTTATATTCGTTTGAGCGGGGTAGCGAATTAGAATATAAATGTATTTATCATGGGTTATGTAACCTTTTCTTTGGGGTGTTACATGGTATGCTGTTCTGTTGCTTCATTAGCGGTAGGCTATATATTTGAGTTGTTCTCATTTATATTCATTCGCGTCTTACGACCGTCCCTACGCCCTCAAAATTAAATACCCAGTGACCAGGGGTTTCTCTTAGACGTAGTTTTTTGCATGCTGCTATATGAAAAGTTTAGCACGTTTTGTATGAATCATTGTTATACGAGCATAGTTTAGATCATTTTGTTGGGTTGTTTTTCTTGCTGTAATTTTTTACATTTCCGAGTTTTCATTCTGTTTGTTGTATTATTTCCATCCATTCTGTTGATGAAGGCATAATAAAGAGGGTCGCACACGGCTCGTGTTGACACACCCCAATTGAGGTTGCTTGTTACATGATAAATGTTTTATATTCGTTTGAGCGGGGTAGCGAATTAGAATATAAATGTATTTATCATGGGTTATGTAACCTTTTCTTTGGGGTGTTACATGGTATGCTGTTCTGTTGCTTCATTAGCGGTAGGCTATATATTTGAGTTGTTCTCATTTATATTCATTCGCGTCTTACGACCGTCCCTACGCCCTCAAAATTAAATACCCAGTGACCAGGGGTTTCTCTTAGACGTAGTTTTTTGCATGCTGCTATATGAAAAGTTTAGCACGTTTTGTATGAATCATTGTTATACGAGCATAGTTTAGATCATTTTGTTGGGTTGTTTTTCTTGCTGTAATTTTTTACATTTCCGAGTTTTCATTCTGTTTGTTGTATTATTTCCATCCATTCTGTTGATGAAGGCATAATAAAGAGGGTCGCACACGGCTCGTGTTGGCACACCCCAATTGAGGTTGCTTGTTACATGATAAATGTTTTATATTCGTTTGAGCGGGGTAGCGAATTAGAATATAAACTTTTTTCAGCTCGATCGAGAATTTTTCTGCCTATTGCCCAGTCTTACGCGGCTCTATTCTGTTGCCGCCTCGCCATCCGAGCGTCTTCGCTCGGATGGCTCGTTGGCAATTAATAAGATTGATAATGAGTTGGTTATTGTGTAATTAAAATATGTTTTTTAATTGAATATTATCTAACATAATGTATAATAGATAGAAGATATAACAATGCTTTTTGAGATAAAAGTAAAACTACCAGAAAACCAGAAAAGGAATCCTTCTCGGGCTTTTCATCAGAGACAGACAATTTTTATTAGATTAGCAAGCAACGCGCTTTCCAGAAGTGATAAACTATATGGTCCATCAAATATTGTAAAGAGATTAAATAAGAACCGTCGCTTAAAGAAAGGCATGGATATCAAATTAGCCAAGACTAATATACGAAAGCCAGTGGAAGATAATCTGTTAACCAGTATTTTATCAATGGGAAGAACTTAGGCACCAACAATTGGTAAGACACTTGGTTTGTCAGCATTAGCAGGTCTT